GAACTGCTAATATACGGTCATGTCCAATGACCGTATATTAGTTCGCGTACGATCAATTTGAGGCGTTTTTCCAAGTCAAGTGAAACTCAACTTATTGGGAGAAAAAAAATCCAAAATCAAAATCAATCTGTCGCAGCAACAGCACAACCTTACATCTGTCTTTTCACTCCAGTTTATGAGGTGGTAGCGCGGGAATAATCCAAGGACAAACAAACTTTTGCCTCATCTGTGTGCATGGCGCAGTCGCATCTACTCGTAAGAGAGTGCGTGTTTGTTTTGTGGCTCTCTGTGCATTAGTGCGAGCGTGAGCGTGTGTGTGTGTGTGTGTGTGTGTGTGTGTGTGTGTGTGTTTGCATTGGCTGACGGGGTTAATCTCGCTCCCCACACCCCGCAGTGTGAAAAACCTCCCTCGGTGCTTCCTATCCTAAAGTGCAGATGGCTTCCCCGGTAAATAAGATTTGCAGCCTTACTCTTTTGTCTCAGCACTCAGGCATCGGGCAGACCATTTCGAGATTTGAAAACAAATGATAGGATCTTAAAAAAGAACTCTAAAATGGAGGGATGCCAGAGTAGGTACCAATCAAGAGGCGAGCAGCAGTATTGTGGACCAACTGGAGACGCTTAATGGAGGATTGGCTGACTCCAAAGTAAAGTGCATTGCAGTAATCCAGCCGGAAAGAAGTTGGATTGAAAAACGGCACCAATTTGCCGGTCCAATTTAAAATCACTGTCCAGTCCAAGACCCAAGTTCGAGACCGTTGGCTTTGGATAAGGACCCAAGTCTCCAGGATGGGATATACGAGGGCCACTCGGACCAAACACCATCACTTCTTCTCTTTTCGTTGAAATTCAAGAAATTTGTGTCATCCGGGTCTTGATTACCTCCAGACTGGAAAAAAAATAGCCTCAATGAGAAATTTCGGAGACAGTGGTCACCTCAGTTGCGATGGGAGCGCGTTCTCAGACTGGAAACATCCCCGATGGAGTGGCATCAGTTTTTGTTTTCTTTTTCATGTGTGCGTGGAGGCGCTCACGTAAGCCAGGGAGTGTGTGTGTGCGTGTGTGTGTGTGTGGAGAAACAAAGCGCCGGCTGATAATGTGTCCATTGTGGCGGGTGCATTAAGGCCCCTCTTTGTCTCAGGGCCCACAGGGCTAATGATTCTCTAGCAGCAGGTGAGAGGCAAAAAGCCTCTCGCACTTCCTCTCCCCGCGCGCTCCACTTGTCTCTCGCTTTGTCTTGCGCCGGCTCGCTCCGCTTTTTCCTTTTTTTTTTTTTTTTTTTTTTGTGGACCCGCTCTCGCGCATTTGTTTTTGTTCCTCCGATTTCCTCTCGCTCGATGATCGGCGTCCCTTCTCCTGTCCTTTCTCTGCCCCACTCTCTCTCTCTCTGTGCCTGCTCCTGCTGATGCGGCCATTAGGCCGAGCCGCTGTTGCCTTTATTACAGTAAATGGACTTGAAAGGTGTTTGATTGTCATATTGGCCAGCCGACTAAACCCCC